TTTTATTTATAAATATATTTCTTGTTATATATTTTTAGATCACGCAGTAGATCGCCACGCTGCAAACGTAGATCAAGATCTCCATATAAAAAACGCGTACCAGTAACCCCGTCTCCTCCTCGTATTCGACGTACGCCATCACCTTCCTTTTCTTCAGGCAGAGGATCTCGCAGGTCACCCACTAATGAACGTTGTGATAGGAAAAGACGCAGATCACCTTCTTTATCGCCTCCACCGCCTCCACGTACTTCCTCTAAACATAGAGCTTGTAGTCCGCCTTCCCCGCGTAAGCGACACAAGCATAAATATTAAATTGCGATACACACATTGTCGTAGAGATTACACAGCAGTTTTTTGCAAAATAATTCTTCGGGATATATCTTTTTGTTTATTTTTTTTTTTTAGATCAGACATTTATTATCTTACGCGATCGTGTTACATTCACAAATTGCATTGATGTACTAAAGAGATTAATCCCCTTTGTTCTTTCTCGTATACATACATTTAACTCGTCTATACGTGTTCAGAAAATATAAGATGAATTTCTCGCTGCTTAATTATTATCGCGAAATAAAACTTTTATTTTGTACATTACAAAATATTAGTATATTTTGCATCGACTAATACGATAATTGAGACAACGCGCGTTATATGTGCAGCTTTCAAGTATAAAAAACAAGAGACAAAATATTTTACCAATTGCTGAAAGTCACGCGAATCAGATTATTTATAATATCTTTTAAATACACACATTGAAGGGAGAATGAGGAAAGTGTATATATTAATTATATATATAAAGAATACGAAGATAGAATGATCGTCTTTAAGTTTATACCAAGAATGCGACACTTTTGTTAAATGTCCTGAAAGTATATTTCAGAATTGAATAACATAATCTTACTTAATAATATATATCAAAAATATTGTTTTCTTGCATTGTGAACATTTTGAATAAATAATTTTATGTAAAGATAATCATTTATACATCATTTTATCTTTGCATCTCTAAACTTGTCACGATGTTTAATTATTATAAAGTTTGACTTTATTGATTACCATGGTTTATGTTCAACTTTTAATTTTTTAACAATTGTATGGATATATTTTATAAAGAAAATCTCTATTTTCTTTTCTTTAAATTAATTTAACTTTATTACGCATGCTGTACATCAGTCATTTCTGCAAAAATCTAATGTCTTTGAAAAATCGTATGAATATTATTAGTTGAGCTTTAACAAAGTTGACGCGTTTCAAACCGTGATATACTTCTCAAACAAAAGTGAAAGTAGATAGTTATATTAATAAATTAAAGAACGAAAGAAAAAGATTAACGAATATAATTTTTCTATTTACATATAATGTTACTTATTATATCTTAATATTTTTTTAAACTACGAATCATATATCATATTTTTGATACAAATCGTTTGCTGAAAGGACAATTTCACAGTTCGAAAAAAATAAATATATTATCAAATTATCTTACAAGAGAGCACATATTCTAATTACGAAGCTCACTGTCAATCTGACGATCTGTGGAATTATTTTCTTCGTGGGCGACTATATCATCTATATTCCATATATTATTAAAGTCATAAGCTTTTCCTCCACTTTTAAGTTGATCACTATCCACTTCATTAATTTCCATTCCTGTTTGTTGAAAGGATGTTTTCGATTCAGATTCCATATGTGAGTCCTTTAGCGCTTTAACACCTGTTTGCAAAGCAATATTTTCGCGAAAACTGCAATACACTATTTTTTATTAAACCTGTTTATTATATATTTCACAAATATTTTACGTTAATTGTATATATATAAATAAGTTGAGTCATATAAGAAATTAAAAATCTTTATAGACTATATATATATATCTATCTGTCATAGTGGATGAAGATATTGACGGAGTACCAATGGATGATGATGACAGTGCAAACATGCGAAATAAGGATGATGAAAAGAAATCGACAATGCCAGCTGGGTTTGTTCCTTCGCGATGGGAAACTGTTGATCCTGATCAGGTTTCAAAATATTTTAATCTCAATAAAATAACAATATCTTTTCGTATTATATTTATACATCACACAATTTTATTAGGTTGAGGCACAAGCAATGACCACCAGTAAATGGGAAGAATTAGGTCAAAACGAAGATTCCAATTCTCAAGATACTAGTATGGATTCCAGGTAGAACTTTGCCGAAACAATTGTCGATAATGTCGATAATCTTACATATAAGAAATATTTTAATAATTTATATATATTAAAAAATATATTTATAATAAAAATTACTTCAACAGTGGTAGGGATTACAATGAAGAAAGGCGAAACAGGTTACGTGAAATTGAAGTAAAAATTATGCAATATCAGGATGAATTAGAAAGTGGTAGAAGAACATTAAAGTCTGGTATGACAATACAGGCACAAGTAGAGCATTATAGGAAAAAACTTATACGAAAGGTATTATTTTTACACATATAAATTTTATTAAATACATAACAATATCGCACATATACACATAAAAATTACTATAGAGTGAGAGAGAAATGAAGGACATAAAAAGCGAAGAACGTGATGATGAGAAACGAAGGGAGAAGAAGCGAAGCCGAAGTACCACACCAGAATCTCCTAGTCACAGCTATCGAAGACGATCGTCGACAAGTCCATCATCTAAAAGTGTTAGATATAGGTAAATGCTCTATCTCGAATTTTCTTATATACATATTCTAGTTTTATATTTTCTTTGTTATATAATACATGAGGTCTCCGTTGCTTGATGTTTTTCAATTCAGAGATATTCTAACTTTTCCTATTTAATGCAATTTTTAATTTATACTTTTATCTATCTCTAAATATAACCACACACAATTTACATTATTTATAAAATAGTTTAAAAATTATTTTATTTATAAATATATTTCTTGTTATATATTTTTAGATCACGCAGTAGATCGCCACGCTGCAAACGTAGATCAAGATCTCCATATAAAAAACGCGTACCAGTAACCCCGTCTCCTCCTCGTATTCGACGTACGCCATCACCTTCCTTTTCTTCAGGCAGAGGATCTCGCAGGTCACCCACTAATGAACGTTGTGATAGGAAAAGACGCAGATCACCTTCTTTATCGCCTCCACCGCCTCCACGTACTTCCTCTAAACATAGAGCTTGTAGTCCGCCTTCCCCGCGTAAGCGACACAAGCATAAATATTAAATTGCGATACACACATTGTCGTAGAGATTACACAGCAGTTTTTTGCAAAATAATTCTTCGGGATATATCTTTTTGTTTATTTTTTTTTTTTAGATCAGACATTTATTATCTTACGCGATCGTGTTACATTCACAAATTGCATTGATGTACTAAAGAGATTAATCCCCTTTGTTCTTTCTCGTATACATACATTTAACTCGTCTATACGTGTTCAGAAAATATAAGATGAATTTCTCGCTGCTTAATTATTATCGCGAAATAAAACTTTTATTTTGTACATTACAAAATATTAGTATATTTTGCATCGACTAATACGATAATTGAGACAACGCGCGTTATATGTGCAGCTTTCAAGTATAAAAAACAAGAGACAAAATATTTTACCAATTGCTGAAAGTCACGCGAATCAGATTATTTATAATATCTTTTAAATACACACATTGAAGGGAGAATGAGGAAAGTGTATATATTAATTATATATATAAAGAATACGAAGATAGAATGATCGTCTTTAAGTTTATACCAAGAATGCGACACTTTTGTTAAATGTCCTGAAAGTATATTTCAGAATTGAATAACATAATCTTACTTAATAATATATATCAAAAATATTGTTTTCTTGCATTGTGAACATTTTGAATAAATAATTTTATGTAAAGATAATCATTTATACATCATTTTATCTTTGCATCTCTAAACTTGTCACGATGTTTAATTATTATAAAGTTTGACTTTATTGATTACCATGGTTTATGTTCAACTTTTAATTTTTTAACAATTGTATGGATATATTTTATAAAGAAAATCTCTATTTTCTTTTCTTTAAATTAATTTAACTTTATTACGCATGCTGTACATCAGTCATTTCTGCAAAAATCTAATGTCTTTGAAAAATCGTATGAATATTATTAGTTGAGCTTTAACAAAGTTGACGCGTTTCAAACCGTGATATACTTCTCAAACAAAAGTGAAAGTAGATAGTTATATTAATAAATTAAAGAACGAAAGAAAAAGATTAACGAATATAATTTTTCTATTTACATATAATGTTACTTATTATATCTTAATATTTTTTTAAACTACGAATCATATATCATATTTTTGATACAAATCGTTTGCTGAAAGGACAATTTCACAGTTCGAAAAAAATAAATATATTATCAAATTATCTTACAAGAGAGCACATATTCTAATTACGAAGCTCACTGTCAATCTGACGATCTGTGGAATTATTTTCTTCGTGGGCGACTATATCATCTATATTCCATATATTATTAAAGTCATAAGCTTTTCCTCCACTTTTAAGTTGATCACTATCCACTTCATTAATTTCCATTCCTGTTTGTTGAAAGGATGTTTTCGATTCAGATTCCATATGTGAGTCCTTTAGCGCTTTAACACCTGTTTGCAAAGCAATATTTTCGCGAAAACTGCAATACACTATTTTTTATTAAACCTGTTTATTATATATTTCACAAATATTTTACGTTAATTGTATATATATAAATAAGTTGAGTCATATAAGAAATTAAAAATCTTTATAGACTATATAATACATATATAGTTTATAAAGATTTTTTATTTCTTATATGATTTAACATATTTGAATGGATTAAATGAAAAAGAATTATTTTGATTACAATAAAGATCCTCCATGCTCATATTTTAACTATCTGCCTCACATGTACTAAATTTTAATTTATTTGTAACTGGTAAACACTGGGAAATGGTAACATATATATTGTTTAATCTAATCGAGATAATAAAGTATTTTATAAAATCACAATACATACAAATCTGTCTATTATTTAATAAACATAGACAATACATATTATTAACCGTTAGAATAAAGGGAACTGTATAAAAGTTCTATTTCTACATGTATAATATGTGCGTGTGTGTACGCATGCATTTGCCATGCATGTGTATGTGCGTATGTGTATATTCATTCAAAAAATATTTAATAATTCATATTTAATAATTTGTTATTTACGTTTCCGTTCTAATATTTTGCTGTCTTTTTTTTCTTCCTTTTCCACCTCTTCTTCCTTTTCCTCTTCCTCTTCCTCTTCCTCTTCCTCTTCCTCTTCCTCTTCCTCTTCCTCTTCCGCTTCCTCCTCCTCTTCCTCTTCCTCTTCCTCCTCCTCTTCATCTTCTTCTTCTTCAGCTTCACTATCCTGTGGAGTGGATAATTTTCCATATTTTGCTTCAAGTTTAGCTATTAATTCTGAATCGTCAACGTTTTCGATTTCCTCATCTTCTTCCTCTTCCTCTTCTCCTCCTCCTTCTTCTTCTTCTTCTTCTTCTTCTTCTTCTTCCTGATTATCATTATTTTCTTCCATCTGCTCTTCATCATATTCTTCCATTCCCAAAACATGTTCGCTTTCTGATGTTTCTAATTCATAATCTTCTTCCTCCTCAGATGATATTATTTTAAATTGATCCCGATTATCGATTTCTATAGTCGAAAAAGATAAGCAAATCTGTGAGACACACATATAATTTATCTCAATACGATACAAGAAAAAAAATTAACATACACAAGAAAAAAATAATAAGATATTATTCACTACACCTGCTTTAGCTGTACTTTGAGTTGACCATTTTTCGTTTACTTGTGGTGCTTTATCTTTTGGAATTAAATTATTTATATCGGTTAGAGAAATATTTTCTTTTTGCAGCTCCATATACTTGTATCTCAAGTCTTCATAATTTTTCACTTGTGCTTCTATAGGTGCTTTATTGTCGACATTCTCAGTTGATTTAATTACTTTTTTAATATGAGGCGGTGGAACTATTGTATTGCGTCTTGATAAATCAGGTATGTCAATTGTATCATGCGGAGAACGGGAAGTATTAACTGAAAAATTGAGTTATTCAATATTCTATGTTGTATGCATGCAAGAAGAGGATATAAACAACTATTAATTGTATATGAACGTAATATACTAAATATATAAAAGAAACATTGGTTTAGTTATAATAAATTTATCTATGTCAAAGCTCTTTACTTACCTGCAAAAAATATAAATTTTAATCTTTTCGATTTTACAACGATTACAATAATGTTAAAATTTAAAACTCTTGCTTCACATCTAATAAATCTAAATAATTCTTTTTTTTGATATGCTATATGTTGCAGCGTCTGTTATAAATAATGTGCTGCTATAAGATAATGCATAATAAAAAATTTACCATTATTCCATCGTCTAACGAGAACAAAATGCGCAGCAACAACAAGTGCAACACCGACTCCAAACTTCACAGCCACTGCAAGCACCATATGTTTTATTTCTAATTACTATCTTTTTTTATATGAAAGTACCGTATAATCAATATAAAGCAGCGAGAGATATTTTTGTCTTTTATTTTTATATTATGAAAAAGGGAGGGCGGGGTGCCGATACTTATATTATATATATATTTTTATATTATATCCAGAATTAAAATTAAGTAAAAGAGCATGGAGGATCACTTTACAGCTATAGTTAAGATTATGTAATTATCCAAAGGCTTTAGCAAAAGCATTTTTAATGTATATTTTTTCACAGACTCACCACTAGTAGATTCTTCTTCAATTTCTTCTTCTTCAGGTTCATTATTTACATCATCTATATCTTCTTCACGTTCTTCACTTTCTATCTGATAAAAAGTCATTAATTTTTAATGACAAAAAAATAAAATTAAGATAAAATAATCAACAAAAAATAATCAGATATAAATATAGCACAATATACAATAGTACAATATATATAAATACAATAGTATAATATATAAAATAATAAAGATAATGAATCACACATACCTCCTCTAAGGGTTCAGCATTATTATCATCAATTTCATGAATGCCAGGTATATCTGCGAATTCCTCAGATACATCGTTATCCTTTTCTTCTACAGAATTATCAACAATCTCCATGCTAGCTTCAAGTTCCATATCAAAGTTATCATTTCCTTCGTCTATCTCATCTTCATATTCATTTGTCTCATCAGTTTCTTCTAATGTACCAGTATCGTCGTATTCTTGTTGTGTTTTATTGTCTTCTTCTTCATCGACATTTTCTTCGTCAATGCCTTCGTCTTCGTTTTCATCTTCTACAAACATCATTTTGACGAAAATAAATATATCTTTAATATTTTTATAATATTTTGCACGTACCATTTTCTGTCTCTTCTTTTTCTGCTTCTTCTTCTTCTTCCCCTTCTTGAGATTCTTCTTCTATTTCTTTTTGTTCTTCTTCCTCTATTTCCTCCTCTTCCTCTTCCTCTTCTTCCTCTTCTTCTTCTTCCTCTTCTTCTTCTTCCTCTTCCTCCTCCTCCTCCTCTTTCTCTTCTTCTTCCTCGCCAATTCCTTCGTCCTCTTCTTGTTCTATATTTTCTCTTTCTTCTTCTTCTTGCTTTTCAGTTTCTGCCGATTCTTCTTCATCGTTGCCTTCCTTTTCTTCCTCTTCGTCTAACACTTTTTCATTTGCTTCCACCATTTCTTCTTCGTGCGATACATCGTCATGATTAGACGGCGAGTCATCTACCCAGCCTTCAAATATACTTGCCCAACGTGATGATGCAATTGGTGTATCAACTTGAAGTACAATATGTTATCAAAATATATGATATCAAACATAAATGTTTTCTTAAGTATAGTTGGAATCGTAGATATAGTGAGTGAGTGAGTATTTAAGAGAGTATAAGTATGATACTTGTGTGTATAGATTAAGCACGTCTTATATGGCTACAATGTTTTGCTGATGAAGACCAGAAAAAACGAAAATAAGTCATAGAAAGAGAGAAAAATAGAATTAGAAAAGGACTTTTTCTCTTTCATTTGGTCTGCGTAGACTTTTGTTTAATATAAATAAACAAATTTATTCTTTTATTTACCATCTGTAGTCCCTCTATGTTCGAAGATTATTATACCAATTAATCCAACAAGAACAGCCAGTAAAATAAAAAATATGATTCGTGCACACCAATGTCCGCCTGTGCTACTTTCTTTATAAACGTGAATAGTGATATTTTCGACAGAAGTATCAGTCGGACTGATCAAAGTAGGCGGTGGAGTACCAGTATCTTCATCATCTAAATACAATAAATAATAAATTAAAAAATGCTTTATTAATAACAATATTTTTTCATACAGATTTAACATATATATATTAAATATTTCTCTTAGTATCTCAGTATTTTTTAAATAGTACATAATTTTTATGATGAAAAATATGGAACAAGTGATACTAAATATAAAATATATTATAAAATTTATAGAAAATTTAGATATATAAAAATATGAAATATAATTCCTTCGTATATTCAAAGCTAAAAATTGATATACAGACACAAACATTTTATTATAAATTATAGATATAACAAACTTGGTATAGTAATCAAATTTTATTAATCACTTAATGAATAAAGTAGATAACATGAGATTTATAAAAAGAATGCAACAATGCATATAGAAAATTACGCAGAATTTAAAGAGAAATGCTTTTAGACTGGATAATACACGTTAATCTATTTTTGAATGCTAAAAGATAGGTCAAGCTTCTAAAACCCACATTTTCTAACTCGAGGAGCTTTGCCAAACTTTCTTAGACGGATCAAAATTTTATACATATCTAATGAGGACTATAAACCTGATAAAAGATTTAATTTCGTATCAGTTAATGTTTGTTAAATGTCATTTGATGTTAGAGAGAGAAAGCAGAGAGAGAGAGAGAGAGAGAGAGAGAAAGAGAGAGAGCACAAATAGAATGATTATTTAAAAAAACAAAAATATCTTTATATTAGTCATTATTAAAAATGATACAATTCTCCTTAAATATAAAATCAATTTTACGAAGTAATAAAACTTTTTTTTATAAATGACAACAAACGATAATTGTATCATGTTGCATTTCCAAATTAACAGCGGCAATTTAAGTGCAACAAATATAAATTTTATATCTGTTAATATAAATAAATTGATTACATTATCACATGTATAAAGAAATTTGTAAATTAAAATATAAATAAAAATTGAAATAAAGATATGTCACTCGTCTGCCAAAGATCGGCCATGCAATGAATAACAAGCTACAGTGCGCGGATATTTTTGGAAGCTAACGGAGGATCGTAAGAATAAAACACGCTTCATTATATGCGCGCTTGTAATATTATCGTTTTGTCACAATTTTTATCGCGTTTCGTTTTAATTTTAACCCAACACTATAATAATAATTAGTATAGCTTGCACATGTAAAAACTAAAAAACGCTCGAAACGCAGTAAAAAGCAGACCATAAAGAGGCAAATCTTAATCAATATTTTCTTTTAAAACAAGCAAGATAATCGTGTTACAATAATAACGCGTATTTTACACAGGTATTGCTTGTATTTTATAAAAATAAAAAAACGTTGCTAAAAATATCATACAGCCGTGGAAATTCGTGTTACGAAAGTGCTATATGAATTGTGCGCGCGCTAGTACATCTGCAGATCCGTTCTTTACCTTTTTTGCGTCGTTTTTCCTTTCGTTTTCTTGGTTGCACATCGCCAGACATTCTTTTATAAGTGAACGCTACCTCGAGTGCTGCTTTGTGGTCACTTTGAAGAATTTGAATTTTCAAATGTGTCGAAGATCTTACGTCGGAGATCACTAGACTCTACAAAAATTTCATTCGAAGATGGTAGATCAGCGCTACCGAGCGCGAAAAAACCCTATGCGAAATTTATCGACGTCACGAGCGTATTTCGCGTGCCATCTATTAAGATTATTCTTCATTATATTAGGAAATTTATCGATATAATAGTTAAACAATATCGACTACATCGAGTTCTATCAACTACTACTGCTTTTAATTGCACACAATAATAATGAAATAATGCCTTACTCTTATCAGCGTTAACTGAAAAAAAAAGAATAATTAATAATTACACATTTCTCTTAAAGCTATATATTGTGCAAAGACATATGCGTTTTGTATTATTAATACAATATTTATTAGATTTTTAAAAATTACAAAATATATTTTACGGAGTATTATCAATTCTCTTGTAAATATACAGCGTTATACATAACTCTTTTTCATTTTGCGTTTTATCGTCGGTGTTACATCAAACAATAAAATAAATTTATTTAGAAACAAAATTAGCGCTAGAAAATCTTCGAAAGTACATTAACTTAAGATCTCTTTAGAAAGTACATTAACCCCTATTGGATATCGCAATATATAAAATAAAGACATTCTCCTTATTACGTAATATGCATTGAACACTAAATAGGAATTATTTTCAAATATTACAAATAATATGACTTTATATGCATGGGTAAAAATAGATTGATCGCTTTCGCTATATGTGATTTTTCCAGATCAAGTCAGCTAGCTGTTTTGCGACGTTTTACCAATTTCTGCATCACCAATAATTTCTCTGCCGCAATATGCTGTGATAACATATAGTACACATATCTTATTAAATAATTTTATCATTAAAAGATAAGCACTCATAACTAAGTGGTTCGTGAAAGAAGCTGAGTAATGTATTTTGAAAATGTAATGAGAATTTCTACTATCTAAAATATATTACATACATAAAATATTATTTTGATATATTTCAGTTTTTCATATATTTTCCAATTGAAAATAATATATTATATATATATACATATATATATCTTTGTAATATAATTATTGTTCAATAGTATAGACAATTTTATAATCGGTTTTATAATATAATGCATGAAATATGTAAAATAAAACAAATGTATGTATATAAGTATAACATGCAAAAAGATGAACATTAATTACATATTACATTAAAGGACACGTTTTTGTGTTTATTGCGCAGAAAAAACATATGTACAATATTAAAATATACAAAGGATATACATTATAAAGCATCATTCATATATATATATAATGATTTTAATTAAATAATCTATGAAATATATAATGCTCTGTGGAGAAACATTCTTGGGTCCTTGAAATATTTTAAGGCACAATCTATGCTAAGAATTTCTACAAGATAACAAATACACATATACATACATACATAATTATTTGATGAACACAAAAAAAGATGAGTATATAAAAAGGGTGTATGTATGTGTTGTTAAATTATTAATGCAATAAAATTGATATAAATATATATAATACCATTTATAAGTAGAATTATCACGTTATCTGCATTTCTAAAACCATGTAAGCAAATTTATCCATTCAATGCAGTTTTCTAAGATTTTCTAAATAATTTGATCTAAATCGCATGTGTAATAATTTATCTTGAAATTTATTATATCTTGGACGAATAATTTCATAACAAAGCGTTGTAGTTACGAACAATAATATAAGCGTCCTTCTCCTAATAAATTGATATTATTGTTATCTGATATGTATTAATAAGTTATAGTAAATTTGTAATTTGAAGATGCAATACAGAATTAACAACGTTAATTAGAAGATAAGAGAACACAAGACTGAATCCTTAGAATAAAAACTTGCTGATTATAACAGCTTAATAAACAATCGACTTTAATAACAAGTTATATGTATATAAACAATGTTATGTTTTTTCAAGTACAAAAAGTAGTTGTAACGTTAATTTTAGATGAATTGCATAATATATATATATATATATATGATATATAAATAATATATGAAAAGAAAAAGAATTTATATTCTGTGATAAATTTACATTGTGTAAAATTGTTCATTGATTTGTGTCGTATGTATGCAACGTTTTTACTTAATAATTTATGCAACATTATCTCTTATATTCTCTACATTGGATAACTCTACACAGAAAGGCCTTGTATAGATATGTTAAGTTTTCAAACTTAATGGTCAATGTATCCCCTTAATTGCTCGATATTTAGATAATACGACCATTCCATAAACAATTTGATTTATCTACAGATTCATTAAAATGATCTTACATCCTATGCCTAGAAAATAGATAAAAATGTTTACTCTAAAGATCTACTACTTCCTATACATGAAAAAGAGAACTCTGTATGCTGTACATCTAGATTTTGTAAACTGTATAATATTTCCATTATGATTATTGAACTGTAACTATACATTTTTCCTTCTAACTATTAGTTTTTCTCATTATTTTGTATGTCATTAGTTAGTGTGTTATTCAATTCTCTATTAGAATGGAAAGACTATACAGTCATAATATATTAATGTGGTTTGTAGTTGTCTGACATATAAGTTTACAGCACATTTAGAAATGTACAATTTTCAATTATTGCAATTATTTTGTCATAAATTTTTAATATATATTATAAATCGCTGTAAAAATAGTGTTTTTAGTTAAGACTGCACAAATTGAGACTGATGTATTTCTATATGAAGATAATCATATTCTTTACCAGAAAAAACATTTTTAGACTCACTCACTTATTTTCTTTCTCCCTCTCAGATTTTACTCAAATAATTACAAATTATTGTAATAGAAATAAAGCATTTTTTGTCAACATTTTTCAGACTTTCTCCGAAAACATATATTAGTTAATTTCACAAATAGAGAATTTTCTATATTAATATATCTTGATTCGATGAAAGCATTACACTGCCATATCATGTGTATTGCATATAAATATTTTCCAAAAGCAAATTTTTTAAACAGTAATTATTATTGATAGCAATCTATAATAAGTGTATAATTCTTTAATAAATGCCAAATATCTTAAAGAGTTTAAAAATTACAAATTAATAATGAAAAAATTACATATTGTAGAAAATTTATAATGATGAGAGGGAAGGATATTATATATATATATATCTTAGGTAACTTATAAATTATTATGAAAACTGATTATATATATATACATACTATCACAGGAAATCGATAAAATATTTATGCAACATATAATCAATTGTAATAGCATCATAGAATGCATAAACTATGTGAAAGCAAAATGTTATTAAAGTAAGATTCAATAACAATTTAAAATTTTATATCTTTTTGTATATGATATATTTTTCTCTATTAAATATTTAGCAGATCTAATATTTTTTAATGTTCAATATTTCTACATTTTATAGGAATATATATACAGCATAGCTTTTTTGGGAGTCAGTATATATTCTTGAACAAATGTCAAATTAAATTGTTTTTTAACAAAAGAAAAAATTTATATAAATAAGTGCAAAAGAAGTTTATATTTGTACGTGTATGCCTATAAAGTTCAGTGCCGTAATTACATGTTATTTAGATCTTTTCTATCTGCATATAATATATTAGAATTGATTGACTGATTGAATTTATATGTATATGTGATGTACTAATCTAAAAAATGTTGATTTAAAAATTTTCACAAGTTTTTCCTAAAAATTGTAAAGTAACCAAGTCTATTCACAACATTAATAGATATCTTTGTATTTTTATTCTTTGTATTTTTTTATATAAAATAGTTATATAATATTATGTCATATAAATATCTACACAAGTTGTATAATTAATGCCTAAGATTGTATAACTAATGCAAAAAGTAATTATGCTAAAATTGATGTGAAATTATGTATAAATAAAAAATAATGATAATTATTATCAAATACACTTTTTTACGATATGAGATATAAGAATTGTTTATATATACGTATATATAAAATTAGATAAATCTAACATTGAGTTTATTCATCGGCCAGAATTTGACCTTTTAAAGAATGAGATTACAAATTGTGCAATTAATAGCACAGTCAGAATCATGTTTATGCACATACATCTTCAATATATTGAAATGAGGTGAGAAAATAAATAAATAATAAATAATAGAGATTTCTGTGGTGACAAAATGTTACGTTTTGCACAACATGGTAACAAACCAAAAGGTACATTAAATTACATTCTGTTATAACTCTTTCTTATTTTTATGCAATGTTAAAAAAGAAAGGAATGAAACAATTTATAGCAGAAAGCTGACATACACAACAGAGAAAACGACCTCCAGCAGAATTATTAATTTATAATGAAAATGTGTCTAGAGATAAAAAAAAGTTAGCCCCATACTTACAAAGAAGCAAGAGCTGTATTTTGTATGTACAATATATATATATATGTACTTTTAAAGAAATGACTAATAAATCTCTGTTTTTCAATTAAGCCATTCGCACCTCACATATTTTTCTAATCTGCAAATATCGTTTTCTAGCGATTATTTGTTGGACTGAAAAATATGTAAATGTTCTATACAGATGCATTAATGCCTCTGTAACGGATGATTGCTATGAATGTGTCTGGGCTCATGCCACCTTCCACTATATACACCCCTGTTTATTACTTGTCGTAAATTTTTTTTTTTTTTAGTTTATAATAACGCGCAGTTCTTATATATTTGTACATAATAGATAAATTAATGATTGCCACGCTCACTCATCGAGTTGCAAGATATGTCAGCAGCATCGTGCTTTAATCGTCTCGTCAACGTACATTCATCTAACATTCTAGTGTTGTCATAATTACCCAATCTCCGCGATAATGTACCCGATAGATTAATATTATCCGCCGTTAATAGACTGGTGCTTTTATGATTTTCTATATTTTCATTGCCGTTTCTTTCCAATTTATCAGATCTTAGTGTATTATTTAAACTATGATCGAATTTTCTGAGATCATTTTGGATACTTTTGATAGTATCGCTACTGTTTTCGTATCTCCGCAATAAGTTGCTTTCATTCTCATACCTACGATTAATGGAGTCAGAATCAAAACACTTTCTGAAAGTATCGTCGTA